TTGAACTGTAGTTAATGATACGCACTTTGAAGTTTTTAGAGGCAAGTGCACTTTGTTCTTAAAAAAGAAAGATAGATTGGGGCGCCTGGGTGGTTCAGTCCGTTAAGCATCTGACTCTTGGTTTTGGCTCAGGTCATGATCTCAGGGTTGTGGGATCAAGCCCTGCATTGGACTCCATGCTCTGCCCTTCTCTCCACTCGCACACGTGCATGCGCTCTCTCTCTCTCTCTACAATAAATATATAAATAAAATCTTTAAAAAAAAATGAAACAAATACTGAACTCTAGTTAATGATATGCACTTTGAAGTTCTTAGAGGGAAGTTCACTTCCCTCTTTTAAAAAAAAAAAAAGATTAATAGATGGGTAGATAGATGAATAGGTGATAAACAAGTATAAAATATAAATGTAAATGAATTTGGGGCGCTTGGGTGGCTCAGTTGGTTAAGCGACTGCCTTTGGCTCAGGTCATGATCCTGGAGTCCTGGGATCAAGTCCTGCATCGGGCTCCCTGCTTAGCAGGGAGTCTGCTTCTCTCTCTGACCCTCACCCCTCTCATTCTCTCTCTCTCAAAAATAAATAAAAAATAAATTAAAAAAATGTAAATGAGGGCGCCTGGGTGGCTCAGTTGGTTAAGCGACTGCCTTCGGCTCAGGTCATGATCCTGGAGTCCCTGGATCGAGTCCCGCATCGGGCTCCCTGCTCTGCAGAGAGTCTGCTTCTCCCTCCGACCCTCCCCCCTCTCATGTGCTCTCTCTCATTCTCGCTCTGTCAAATAAATAAATAAAATCTTTAAAAAAAAAATGTAAATGAATTTGCTCCATGTTTGAAATTTTTCATAATAAAATGTTGATGGAAAAAGATGAGAAGATAGTACACAGGAGACTTACCTTTACCTCACACACCATAGTTACTGGCCTTGTATGTTTTGTCTAGCCTTTGTCCGGGTGGGAGGGCGAGGGGTAGAACTGTTTAGTACTAAAGGCATCTGCTCCCCCTTCGGAGACTCTGGAAACCTCTGAGTCATTCCCGGATGTGCCTTCTATCACGAGGGATCCGTCGAGTGACCAATGGTAGCCAGCAATTGTGGTGGTCCTCCAGTACCTACAGGAAGGAGCACATTTTCCGGCATACCTCAGGGTACAATTATATGTAACCGAAACAAAAGTTTCATCAAGCTATACTCTGCACTCTGATATTTTCTATTCCAATTTCTGAAACGAATGTCAGTTTGATCTGTTAATAGGTTAAGAACTGACATTGGAAAAATGCTCCTCCAGCACATAAACCATGGAGACCAAAAGATTGACATCTATCACGTAACATTCACAGCGAACATTGCCATAAAAACCTTTAGCATTTTCGGATATTCCGTAGAACTTCAAAGCCCAAGAGACCCGGGTTTCGTTATACGTGCCACCGCCATCTCTCAGTTGTGTGACCTTGGCAAAGATGTTTAACTTCTTAACCTCAGCTCCATCATCTGGAAAATGGGCCTATCAGGAGAAATACACACTTCATAGAGTTCTAGAAAAGGACTAAATGAAGCGATATCTGTAAAGTGCTTTGCACAGTGCCCAATGGAAAGGCTTCAGGAAGTGGTAACTATTTTTATTAGCCAGGAATTCATAGGCTTCTGTGTTTGGGCCTCGAAAGATATCAGAATGGGCTTCCAAGGAATATGGTGTCCCTCCTATCTTCTCCTTTTTTTTGAAGATTTTATTTATTTATTTGACAGAAAGAGACACAGCGAGAGAGGGAACACAAGCAGGGGGAGTGGGAGAGGGAGAAGCAGGCTTCCCGCCGAGCAGGGAGCCCGATGTGGGGCTCGATCCCAGGACCTGAGCTGAAGGCAGACGCTTCACAACTGAGCCACCCAGGCGCCCCCCTCAGTATCTTCTTTCCTTCTCTTTTCCTGTTTGTTTTTGATAGAAGTAACCTTGGGGAGCCCCCGACTGTTGGCTATAGCCCTGAGTAAAACAGTACTCAGTTTTCTAGCAGTTGTCGGTGGTGGCTTTGGCAAGAATGCCATTTGGAAACCTGGGGCGTTTTGGCAGCCTTTGTCGTGTTTGTTGTCGGAGACTGCCTTGGCATAGTCCTAGGTGAAAGAGGGATGCCTGGGGTGTCTCACTGATTCATCCCTTTGGCATGGAATTCTGGATAAACTGCATCTGACTTGGGGAGGGGGGTGGGCAGGAAGAGCCCAGAGGGCCTCATTACAGAGGTGTTTACCTCTTTGAAATTCCCTTACTGAGGGATTATTTGGATTTCCTCCTTTTTAATCTGAACAACTTTGGCTGCTGGTGGAAATAATTAGAACGTGTTCTGGTATTTCTGGCACCCTTAGAATTTTTGCTCTTCTTAACTGAATAGAGTCTTCGGGCTTTATTGCTGGGAGAGCCCTTACAGGGTCAGCGCGGGTGTGCTGCCCGGCAGGCCCCTTCGAGGGGCAGGCCTTGGGCACCGGTGGGCTGCGGGGCTCTGTCTCCAGGCTGGCTGGGGAGGAGACACGGCACTCTAGCTGGAGAAGGGCGCACTTTAACCACAGCCAATCTAAGAAAATGAGGACCCTCACTACTGTGACCTGCTGCAATCCCTTTGGAGTGTGCATCGTACTGCTTACCATACAGACCCGTTTATTACCTAGGGTAGCATCCAGTTTAGCGGTCTCGGCAGCTTAATGCAACAAAGATGGATTTGTTGCTCACATATCTTGTCCAGTCTGAGTCAGGGTGGGGAACGTCTGTCTCTCTGTACGGACACGCAAGGGCTTGGGCTGGTAGGGGCCCCAGCCATCTTGTAGCCGTCTAGGACACCTGCCTTCCAGGTTGCCAGGGCAGGGAAGAGAATTAGCACTCACCCTTCTGTGCTTTTGCCCAGAAGTGATAGAGGTCATTTTGCTCATGGCTCATTGGTCTAAACTGGTCATATGACCCTGCCTACCTGCAGGGGGCGCTGAAAATATGGGGGTACCTATGGAATAGTTGATGAGCGTTACCAAGGAGAAGTCATATGTGGTATTCTATTTGCTAAAACTATATATTGGGAAAAAAAATGCATCTTCTATTCTCTAGAACTACCAAGTTTCTTTACCCGCCCACTTTCCTAAGCCTCCAGATTCAAAGAGGCCGTCATGGCGGCCGCTTTTACTGATGGCCTGGTGGGGACAGGGCAGCCGTGGCCAACCACAGGGTAATGGCATTTGTGAGCAGAGCAGCAGATAATACAGTAGAGGAATAGTGGGGGCAGCGTGGCTTCATGCTGACTTGGTGTGGTTACTTTGTGTGGTAGGCTGAAAAACACTCCCCGTTTTGCCCCAAACATATCAGGTCCTAATCCCTGGAACTAGCGGGTGTTACTTATATGGCAGAAGGGGTTTTGCAGATGTGATTAAATTAAGGATCTTAAGATGAGGGGGTTATCCTGGCTTAGCCCAGTGGGCCCTAAATGCTATCACATGTATCCTCATAAGAAGGAAGCAGAGGGATCTGACACTGTGACGGAAGAGGAGGCGGAGACTGGAGTGATAGAGTGACAAGCCAAAGAATGCCCACAGCCCCAGAAACTGGAAGAGGCAAGGAGTGGATTCTCCCCTGGAGCCTCTGAAGGGATTGTGGCCCAGGAACTGGGGAACAGGGCAAGAGCGAGAATTTTCTTTCTATACTCTCTTTTCATCTTTTAAATTTAAACCGTGTAAATGTACTAGCTATTCAGTAAATAAAATTAACCTTTACAGCCCTGCCAACCCTATAGTAGGGGAACATGGTTCAATTTATTTATTCAAGGCTTTATTTATATCAAGGCTTCCAAAACAGTGTGCTGAGATTTAATTTCCTCAGCCTTGGGGAGTGCAGGCAAGGGCCAGGGGAGCCAGAGCCCCCCGGGTTGCTGTCTTTGACTTCAAGAATACTACCCCTTGCTGCCAGTGTGCTATGTAAATATTCTTATTTCCAACGCATGCAGTGATGTGGAAAGGTTGGTCAATACAGCTCTAGGTGAAATGTGGCCTTATATTTTAAAATACATGTCACATAAAAATAGCTATGGAAAACAAACCAACCAACCGGTTGGGTCCTTGGGGAAGAATCTAGTGATTATTTCACTCCAGTGCAGGAGCCCTCAGCCTTTTTTTCACAGTGACCCTTGCGATGAGGATGGTCATGACCTGGCACAGTCCCGGTGAGGCTACTGGCGCTCCTGCCAAACCCCAAACTAGCTCAGCTTCCGTGTTTCCCATAGGAGCCCACAGGAAAAGAAAGCAGTGTAACATGTTAGGAAATGATCTTGAGTTCACTCTTATTTACCAAGAACTAAATCATTGAAAACTTGGGTATGTCCACCATCAGTCAGAACAGTCATTCTGACCTGCCCCATAACTGACATCACAGTGGGGACCGCTGTCCTCACAGTGTAAGTAACATTTCATATTGTGGCTAGCTGCATGGAAGGTCACTTTAAAGATTTTATTTATTTATTTATTTATTTATTTATTTATTTATTTATTTATTTATTTGAGAGAGAAAGAATGAGACAGAGAGAGCATGAGAGGGAGGAGGGTCAGAGGGAGAAGCAGACTCCTCGCCGAGCGGGGAGCCCGATACGGGACTCGATCCCAGGACTCCGGGATCATGACCTGAGCTGAAGGCAGTCGCTTAACCATCTGAGCCACCCAGGCGCCCCCATGGAAGGTCATTTTAAAACACCAAGTAAGAGATCAATTTTCTAAAAGATTAGTGACAGGCAAAAAAAAAAAATACTTGGTGGTATTACATGCAGTATATAAATAGAAACTTGATCAATTCAATTTTCATTTGAACTGTAATCTTTGTTGTTCTGTTGTGTCCTGGTGGGTCTGATGATGTTGGTAATGCTGTCTGTTCTTTATGTTTTCTGGAAAAAGTAACTGAAGTCGTTTGTCAGTGTAGTACTATCTGAAGATATCTAAGAGCTATTAAAATGCTTAAAAATAAAATGATCAATTCTTCTTTTGTTCTCTTGACAGGATAATTGAAGCTATCTGCATAGGTTGGTTCACTGCAGAGTGCATCGTGAGGTTCATCGTCTCCAAAAACAAGTGTGAGTTTGTCAAGAGACCCCTGAACATCATTGATTTACTGGCAATCACACCGTATTACATCTCCGTGTTAATGACAGTGTTTACGGGCGAGAACTCTCAACTCCAGAGGGCTGGAGTCACCTTGAGGGTGCTTAGAATGATGAGGATTTTTTGGGTGATTAAGCTTGCCCGTCACTTCATTGGTCTCCAGACACTTGGTTTGACTCTCAAACGATGTTACCGAGAGATGGTTATGTTACTCGTCTTTATTTGTGTTGCCATGGCAATCTTTAGTGCACTTTCTCAGCTTCTTGAACATGGGTTGGACCTGGAAACATCCAACAAGGACTTCGCCAGCATCCCTGCTGCCTGCTGGTGGGTGATTATCTCTATGACTACAGTTGGCTATGGAGATATGTATCCTATCACCATGCCTGGAAGAATTCTTGGAGGAGTTTGTGTTGTCAGTGGGATTGTTCTCTTGGCGTTACCTATCACTTTTATCTACCATAGCTTCGTGCAGTGTTATCATGAGCTCAAGTTTAGATCAGCTAGATATAGTAGAAGCCTCTCTGCTGAGTTCCTCAATTAATGCATTGCAAATCGATTCTTAGGTACACTTTGATAGAAAGAGTTGATGCTACTTCCTATTCATCATGCGTTTCTTGCTGGGTGAGCACGACAGTGGTACTGTCGTCATGTTGGTAAAAATGATCCTTCCCAGCAAAAGGGATGCACAAATTTCCTTATAGTGGAGTAAATAGGATTGACACTTCAAAGGAAAAGTAATAACTCCTAGAATAAATTTTAGGATCTTATTTTATTTAGGCTTGTCTCCTCCTTGCCTTGAACAATTACACTTTTTGTGTTTGTCTTAAAGTATATTATTTGAACATTTTAAAACTGAAAGGTACTATTTTCCAAATGTTTTTCCATCTTACGAATTCAGAAGAAGCTTGGAAGTTACAGTGTTTTTTGTTGGAGAGTAACATTTTCATTTCTAAATGTTTTATAATCTCTCATATCAATGTCAGAAGTATCCTGGAAACATATGTCACACGCAGGAACTGTTTAACAAATACTTTAAAAATTTGGCCAAATTTTAAACTGTATAATGGAGCTAGATAACAAGCAAGGATAGTATTTGAAAAACTTTTCCAGCATATTTCTCAATTCCCTGATTTATTTTTGTTTCTATTATTCACCTTATCATACAGCTTCATGGAAGCTTGAGCATGTTTTCTTTTTTCCATTTTGGTTTTCTTTTATCTCTTTACTGAAATGACTCAACAGACTATTTCAGAATGAGGAGAGCTTGTATTATTTAGCATTTTATTGGAGTTCATTTTACTTGAATTCATTGCTGTTACTAGGTGATAATTGTCCTAACATTCAGATGTCCAAACAAGAATATTTCCAACATAAAAATGATAATAGAGATAGTTTGATATTACAACCCATATTTATCTTCTTCTGCTCTTAATTTTTTTCCATGGGTTTAGTAAGACTTACCAGATGAAAGGATGTTTATGTAGCCTTTTTATACCAAAGTCATACTTAGATGTTTCACTAGATTATCATCAAAAGAGAAATTAAATATTTCCTTACTCTTGGTTGCTATGTAGCTAAGCCAATTTTAAGCCAGCTAAAAACAATGAATATAGGGGCGCCTGGGTGGCTCAGTCGTTGGGCGTCTGCCTTCGGCTCAGGTCATGATCCCAAGGTCCTGGGATCAAGCCCCTCATCGGGCTCCCTGCTCTGTGGGAAGCCTGCTTCTCCCTCTCCCACTCCCCCTGCTTGTGTTCCCTCTCTTGCTGTGTCGCTCTCTGTCAAATAAATAAATAAAAATCTTAAAAAAAAAAAAACCAACAATGAATATATAATTGTTTGATCTGAGCTTCACCATTTTGAATTGCAGCTACACCAAAACTTCTTATATCAATATTGAACAATATGCCACATTAATCTGGGTAGATTATTAGGACTAGATAATATAAAACTGATGACTAGTACTAAATTTTAGCAATATGAATTAAGATTTTGCTTTGTTAACCAGTTGTCATAAAGAAATCGGTAGATAAACACAAAAAATTAAAGTTATAGATTCACAAATAGTTTAATGTTGTACACTGTAATTTAATGGGAGTGTAGAGGGTCGATAGAGAAGGGATGGGACCTGGATATATTTATTGAAGAACAGAAGTGTTCCTTTGAAGAATAATAGCCATCATCTAGTTCAGACCTCAGTTAGTACAGGTAGACAATCAGGGTAAGAGAGGATATGACTGTGGAGGAATTAGGGCCAAAACCTGGGTCACTAGAAACCTACCTACCTGGCCCAGCAGCTTTCTTTTCTTCCTTTTTTTTTTTTTTAAGATTATTTATTTGAGGGCGCCTGGGTGGCTCAGTTGGTTGAGCGACTGCCTTCGGCTCAGGTCATGATCCTGGAGTCCCAGGATCGAGTCCCGCATCGGGCTCCCTGCTCGGCAGGGAGTCTGCTTCTGCCTCTGACCCTCCCCCCTCTCATGTGCTCTCTCTCTCTCTCTCAAATAAAAAAAAAAGATTATTTGAGAGAGAGAGAGAGAGGGAGCACGAGTGTGGGGGGGTGGAGGTGGGGTTGGGAGGGGCTGAGGGAGAGGGAGAGAGAGAATCTTAAGCAGACTCTGTGCTGAGCCTGGAGCCTCTCACAGCCCTGAGATCAGGACCTGAGCCGAAACCAAGAGTCAGAAACTTAACTGACTCAACCACCCAGGCACCCCACCCAGCAGCTTATTCTCAACACACATCTGGGGTTTGAGAAAAGCCTCGAGAAGCCAAACTTCTTTGCCATTGCCATTGCTGGGGTAATAATAGCAAAACTGTTCCTTTTCCGTGATATTTTGGCCATTAAAAGAATCTCACCTCATCTTTTTTACTACTCTACACTGGTATGCTACTTCTTATATGCTCAAAATAAATTCTGTTATTTATTGTATATTTATTGTATTTTAATATATTTGAAATAAATGGCATGGATTTATTTTTTCTTACCTGTTTTGATTAAGGCTTTGAGATTCATGCAAATAATATGCAGATGTTAGCATCCCCACATTACTAATAAAAATATGGTAGCCATCCATTTTGCTGGCACTGGGAAGCCTCCATGGGAATATGTCTTATGTTCCCAAGTAAATTATAACTATCTCGAGGGCTGAGACCCACTTTTCTTGCCCACACCTTCGTATCCCCACAATGTCTGTGACAGATTTGAGCACAGGCTATTGTTGACTGATGTGGGGGGAGAAATTTCTGTGTGAAGAGGCAAGGAGAAGCACACAGCCAAATGTATACCTGTGGAACCACACGTGTGAACACGCACAGACTTCGAGGCTGCCCTTAAGTGACAAGAAATGTCTTGTTGGTGATGCCAGACTAAGGACTTCTAATGACTAATTCTAATGACAGCTCTGCTACCCATTTACTAAGAATGATGATGAGAAATGATAGAATAGTTCATTCATGAGTTAAAAAAATATACTGTGGATGTTGTCATTTTCTAGGAACAGAGGCATTTTTCTTACAACTTTCCCTGAATGTTACTGCCTTAAAAAAGTCACTTAGTTGGACTTTTTTTTTTTTTTTTCTTTTGAAAGAGAGAGAACGAGAACACGAGGTGAGGAGAGGCAGAGGGAGAGGGAGAGAGAATCTTAAGCAGGCCGACACAGGGCTCGATCTCACGACCCTGAGATCATGACCTGAGCTGAAATCAAGAATTGGATGCTTAACTGACTGCCCTAGGACTACTTTTTTAGTTCGCTTTTAGACATTTCTCATAATTCCATCTTCATGGCACAGACACTTTCATCAGGATCTCTATGAGTACCAGTGAGTCAGATATCATCCTAAATTATTAGGATCCCCAGTGAGGAAAGAGGAAGCCCAAACCTTTGTTCTGATTTTACCACACATGAGATTCTGACTAAATCTTCCATATAACTTGTCTTGTATCCTCTAAATTGGTATTTTTTCAGATTAAAGATATAAATTACAGCATACATTTAAAAGTGAACATTCTCTTAAAAACTCAAGGCCTTACTTATCTCTTTCTTTTATGGCTCTATTGTTATTGTGGGTTGCTAGTTGAAACTAGCGTTTGCATTTGCTTTGCTTTTGGGTTTTGTAGTTACTTGTAACCACACATTTGTAAGTTCTCCCTTTCTTAAAAATGTAGAAATATATTCTTCCACAGTGGCTGTCAGCAAATCAAAGTAATATTCTGTTTTTAAATTTTTGTCCAGATGTCCTGCCTAGGTCTCTGGTGACCTGGGAGGCAGGGAAGATGGGGTTACATTGGATATTGGTGTTGGAAGGATTTCCCTTATTGGCTTGGTATTTTCTTTTCTTTTCTTTTTTCTTAAGATTTTATTTATTTATTTATTTATTTTATTTATTTTTTTTTTTTTTAAAGATTTTATTTATTTATTTGAGAGAGAGAGAATGAGAGAGAGCACATGAGAGGGGGGAGGGCCAGAGGGAGAAGCAGACTCCCCGCCGAGCAGGGAACCCGATGCGGGACTCGATCCAGGGACTCCAGGATCATGACCTGAGCCGAAGGCAGTCGCTTAACCAACTGAGCCACCCAGGCGCCCTTGATTTTATTTATTTATTTATTTGACAGAGAGAGACAGCCAGAGAGGGAACACAAGCAGGAGGAGTGGGAGAGGGAGAAGCAGGCTTCCCGCTGAGCAGGGAGCCCAATGTGGGGCTTGATCCCAGGACCTTGGGATCATGACCTGAGCTGAAGGCAGGCACCTAACGACTGTGCTGCCCAGGCGCCCCTGTTGGCTTGTTATTTTCTAAAAGCAGCTGATTTTTTTCTCTTTGCTAAAGAAATGAAAAATAAAAACGGAAACCTCCTGGTTATGCTTCACTCTTTTTTTTTTTTTAAAGATTTTATTTATTTATTTGAGACAGAATGAGAGACAGAGAGCATGAGAGGGAGGAGGGTCAGAGGGAGAAGCAGACTCCCTGCCGAGCAGGGAGCCCGATGCGGGACTCGATCCCGGGACTCCAGGATCATGACCTGAGCTGAAGGCAGTCGCTTAACCAACTGAGCCACCCAGGCGCCCGTTATGCTTCACTCTTAAGCTTCTCCAACTCCAAACTTAACCCATAGCTTCACAAAATATTTCCAGAGTTCTCTGATCCTATGAAAGTGTACATTCACTTATGGTGTACAATATACAGTCCAAACAAATATGATGTAAATATGTCATAGGGCCACAGTAAGTTAAAACTAAAGGGCCCTGGAGACCTCTGGTCTACTTGCCCCCTTCCTTCACCTTTTCTCTTGTCCATATGTCAGCAGCCAGGGAAGTGTGCTCCCCCTGGCTTGTGATTTAGCTCTCATCCCCATTTGCCTGTGACTTTCTTCGTTTTTAGCACTGAAAGTCCCCCATCCAGGGAAGTCCCTTCATCTCAGGTGAACTGGGACAGTTGGTCACTGTAGTGTCAGGTCAGGCCCCAGAAACCTGGTTTCCAGACTTTTAGTTCAGTAGTCTTTGACGTACTTCTGTTTAAGAACATCAGAAAGCATGAAGGATTTCTTGTTTAAATATTTTCTTTGGGGCTTTGGAGCCCTTTCTTATACACTTGATCTTAGCCAAAAGGCCGAGAAGTGATTAGAGCCCTTTCTTATAGGTATAAAGAGCAAATGCTCCTTTTAGACACCCTCGATGTCAGGGAGGGTGTCTTGGGACCAGTGTATAGGGAACTCAGACTTCTGGTAAAGTTTTTCAGTTGCAGAACTTCATAGTTGCACACCCATTCACATATATACAAATAAGTGCAATTCATAGTTATCATTGCATTATTTAGGGGTATAGATTGAGAAGTGTCATAGCTGAATAGGGAGTAACATGGGTTGACACTTTCATGGAATTTTTTTTTTTTTTTAAAGTAAGCTCTAGGCCCAATGTGGGGCTTGAACTCACGACCCTGAGGTCACGAGTCGCCTGCTCTACCAACTGAACCAGCAGGGCACCCCTTTCATGGAATGTTCTGTAAAAATTCCATTTTGGTCAGGGAAGGTGGCCTACACTTCTGTCTTTATTCAGCATGCTTTTACGTGGTGTTTTGCTTCCTGCTTTTCCAGACCCATCTACACTCAGAGAACTGGGCCTATCAGCTCTGCCTCATGCTATGGAGCCTTCCAAAGACTTGTGAAAGAAATGTCATCTGCCAGTGTGATTACATTGTCCCGTTCTGTGATTAACTTTTTTTTTTTTTTTCTTTCAGCAGTTCCCCACTTAGGCCTCAACTTCCAGATTTTTCCAGTTTTTTATCAGACACTCCCAATAAGTACTTGAACTTTGGACCATTAGCTTAATTGTCAGTTGATTAATGACTGGAACTTGAAAACCTGCATTTATGCTATAACTTAAACAAGTCAATTTTAAGTAGCTTTGGTGAGAATCCTTTGATTGAACACTCAACTGAGTACAGTGAAAGCAAAATGACATTTAGTGGATGAAAGCCTGAGGGAGTAAATATTTGGATCTCACCTACCAGAACTAAGAAATGCTGTGTCACTTATATCTGAAGAAGTGATCTTGTTTTATTTATGCAACGTTGTATTAAAACTGAAATTAAAATTTCACATACTTTTGTTAGGTAGTTTTTCCTCTTCTTAGACGTCAATTATTTCATTTGTTTTGAAATAATCCTGTAATTCTGCCCATGACAGAGTAGAGGCCACATACATACAGAATATGTGCTATTGTAAGGTGTTTTGTTTTTAAAGAAAGGACACATAAGTAATGACAGGCGTTTTTGCTGTATTAATATAGAATGATTTGTTAAACTTACATACTGCTTTTTAGCTATGCTATAAGCTTGATCTTGTAGCTCTGATGGAATTCCATGCTTTCCTTCTCTACAGCATAGAGGACAGGAGAATTTCACGTTTTGGGGGGAGAGCAGCATTTGAGTTATAAATCCTGAACTCTGAAATAAGAGGGGGTGTGTGTGTGTGTGTATGTGGCCATGCCTATACATATATTTATTTTGTCTTACTGTTTCAGCCATAGCCAATCTTATAGGAAACACTTAGAGGTAAAAAGGCAAAGTCATGAAATAGATGAAGGCTTAGCTTTCAGATTCAAGTGAAGGGCTGTTTTTGTTCGTAGGACGGAATTGGACAAGTTGCGATTTTTGCTTTGAGATAAACTGCCTAACTTCTTATCTGTATTTTTATTCAGTTTTTCTTATCCTTTGGAAGGTTTTAAAATAAATAGTATCAATCATAGTTGTAAATTAGAATAATGGGTCATGATCCCCTTCTTGATAAGACTCATTTTAGAATAATTTAAGGAAAATCACCTTTTATTAACTCTTCCAACCAACTTAGTTGAAAAAGATCGGGTGGAAGTTGAGCAACATATGTATGTTTGTGTCTTTTTCTTTTTCTTTTTTTGTTTATGT